TGGGTATTGCTTGATAATTCGGATAGGAGGATGGGGTAACTTATCCAAGACACCGCTGGGGCCTATTCCAGTTAGGGGGCATCATGATGCAGTTTCTCGGCGAACTAGTGTGAACTCGAACATTCCAGCTTTTCACGCATGTCAAGTGACTGCCCTCACCCCCACCCCCCTAGACTGGCTACACTCCCCCTGGCTCGGAGTTACCCTAGCTTTCTGGAAAAACTGCATCATGATGCCCCCTAACTGGAATAGACCCGGGGTCTATTCCAGTTAGGGATGATATGCAGTTCAGAGCGCTCTACGTGTTTGGCACCATGGATAGCATGTTCTCTCAGTCAGGACCAAGCCATGAGGGCCGGGTTCGTGAGCAATCTTCGCTTTCTTCGGGGGACTTTGCCCTCACCCCCACCTAGGCTTATTCTCTGCTGCTCACATGGTATTACTTTTTATGGACCTTCAGGTCATACAGCACAAGAACACGTACATGTACGTATATGAAAACCAGAAGAAACAGCGTAGGAACAATGCCGATAACAGTTTGGGACTTTAAAGGATTCTTTGAACCAAACTGGCATTAGAGCAGGCTGTGCCCCTCCTAACTGGAATAGGCCCCAGCGGTGTCTTGGATCAGTTACCCCATCCTCCTATCCAAATTATCAAGCAATACCCAATGTGGACGAGTTGTTTATCGGCGGTATAGCGCATTGTTGGGCGGAAGTGGTGTAGTGGCAAGTGGCGCGCACCACGCGAGCGGTCCGGGGATCAAATCCTGGGTCGTGAGTCGCCCGGGCCAACCAAGCCTTCCATCCCTCCGGGGTCGGTTAATTGGTACCAGACTTGTCTGGGAGGAAAAAACACTGACTTGTACATCGGCTGGCCCCGCAAGTCATTGTATAGGCCACATCGCATTCAAACGCCACTACGAATGTACAAATGGAAGTAGAATGCGTGCCGCATCCCAAAAAGGGATTGATCAACGGCAAATGCTTTATCCTTATCCTTTATGCTACAACACGTCTGGTTTCGTAGTGTGCGAGAAATGGAAAGTCTCTTCATAGGGACTCCTTACCAACCTTGCGAGCAGTATAGTAGCAAGTTGCAGTTATACAGGGGGGGGGGGGCAAAAAAAGAGTCACTCACACTCACATTCAGAACAGAATTAATTGCACTTTGCCAAAATCGAACCAAATGAGCTCAGCAACCAACCAAGCAAGCATATTGAAGAGCACATTCTATTCTATCAAAAAAATTACATAGGGCTTTCTACACCGACGACATCAGAAGATTTTCCCACGGAAACATGGTTCGCGGTACGAGCTCAACGAGGTCGTCGAGAAACCATAGACGATTACGACGTCTCTGAAACGCTGGTCAAAAGCCATTTTGCATAGTCAGAGCTAGTGTCCCTAAGAAGTCATTCACCAGTTATCCGATTGAAGAAATTATGTAGCACAGCTTCAGAATGGAGCGATTATGGTAGGCCTCCTTGAGCTCGACGGTGATGACAGATGACGTCATATTCTGGAGACGGTGAACGCAGCGAAGGTGGGCCTGATTCTGCTTATGGGGGGACATCTAAGGAATAATTTGCCGTATAACTCCCAATAACAGCGGCATCCTTTGCGACGAAAAGTTTGATGATATGCGCCATAGGCAAAGTGACTCTTTTTTTTTTGCCCCCCCCCCCCCTCTTATCATGCGTCGTTTCACACAACCCTTATTATAATAATTCCCAAACCGTCTAAAGATTACCATGATTTGTGGTGACTTCAGGATAATCACTGTCCTTGAAAAAAGTGTTTTTTCTAATAGGTTCCCGGCATGTTTTTGTCACTATCCCACTATGCTTAAAAGTAGCACTTCCTCTACAGAGGTTGGGGGGGGGGGGTAGGGAAGCAATGTAAAAAGGAGTCATTCTCTTTTGGACATCTTAATATTAATCAGACAACATATTTTAGCGGTGACTTATATTTGGAAACACACTGTAGAAATACCACGTTGCAGTTGCATACGAATTTATTGTGAAGTAAGGGAAATTCAAAACATAAAACTTAGTAATAAAGATATTGCATTTAAAATACTAGCTCTTCTTTTAGGCTAGCTCTTTCGAAATGGTTTCTTGCATGACACTGGGGCACATATGGGACCACAGAAAGCATGGTTCAGTTTTCCTGAACGGCTCCTCTGAATACCAGAAAAGGGGTCCCTAGTTCGAATTCTTCGTGTGACAAATTTTTGCATTTCGAGAGGTTCGGGCCTTTTCCATATGCGCCGCAAATGGAGCATTAGCATGAAAATAATTTAGTGACAAATTTCATGATTAGGACGTCAGTAACCCTTACAAATAGACTTTGATTGAAAAAAACTGGTGAAAAGGTGTGACTAGGGACCCCTTTTCTGGTATTCAGAGGGCCGTTCAGGAAAAATTAACCATGGTTCTGTGGTTCCCGCATGTGCCCCTATATCATGCAAAAGACCGTTTTGAAAAAGCTTGGCACACCCTGAAAGACCTTCCTTGTTAGTTTGAATATGCGGAGTGTTGGGCATTGATTGAAAAAAGGATAGCACCGCTCAAGAAACGGGGATAATTTTTGCGAGTTGTGATTGTTACCTAAATTGTTTTTTTTTCTAGGAATGCCGTCGAGGTCTTGAAGGAACGAATCTTTGCGTGAAGTGTCCAGCTCGATTTGAGACTCGGCCGGGACTCGCGAATCACTTTAAATTGCATTTTGGTGAGTCAATGTCTTTTGTTATACGCGATGGTTTTTCGCGGAAGTCGCTCCAGTGCTTCCAGCGAAAATATTGATTACGAGAGAGTCGCTGAAGGTCTTTGAAGTAAAAGTGTAGGGTTTTTAATAGGATATAGTTCAGGTTTTTGTGATTTATTCCTTCAAGTCTTTCGTTCCAGGAGAAAAACGCAAATTTGCATGCGAGTTGTGTGACTTTTCGGCGACTACAATGAAGTCGCTACGTTTTCATCGACGGGTACATGACCGTTATGGGGTAGGACCGGCTACTCTTCCAGAATCGCTTAAGAACGGACTTTCAATTGTGAGTAATTGCGTGTTGCAAAGCTTTCACCTGAGTTTCAAAAAATCCTTGGAAAGTTCCACAATACGGTCGTATTCGTCTTTTTTGGAGGGGTCGTTCTGGGTGAGGTCACTGTTGCATCGATCGTAAGAGATGAAATAGAATTTATGATTCCTCATCTTCCTCATTCCCGTTCACTTCTTCACAATGCTTTTCCGCTCCTACTCTCCCTCATTTGTAGTTAGAAGTAGGTAAGAGCACAGAGGAAAGAGCCAAGAGCGTTTTGAAGAGACCTTTCCAGGAATGGGGTTGAACAAATCCCGAAATGTTCCCAACACAAGGCTGGAAGCTGCTACGCGTATGCTATAGTTGATAGAATATCTTGAAAATAGGTTTTTGAGATTCCTTACTACTCCACAAAGTCCTCGGGAGCCCTGCCAAACTGCCCTGGCTGACTCCATCGGGATTGCTCTTCAGTCCAATCCACCTCAAGTATGTATGCTATTCTTACCAGGAAGGTCTTTCAGGGTGTGCCAGCTTTTTCAAAACGGTCTTTTGCATGATATAGAGGCACATGCGGGAACCACAGAACCATGGTTAATTTTTCCTGAACGGCCCTCTGAATACCAGAAAAGGGGGTCCCTAGTCACACCTTTTTCACCAGTTTTTCAATCAAAGTCTATTTGTAAGGTTTTACTGACGTTCCAAATCATAATTTTTGCACTGCACTAGTCATACTATCACGCCATAACTTCCATTTTGCGCAATTTTTGGAACGTCGTCACGAAATGCAAAAACTTGTCACCACGAGGAATCGAACTAGGGACCCCTTTTCTGGTATTCAGAGAGCCGTTCAGGAAAAATGAACCATGCTTTCTGTGGTCCCCATATGTGCCCAATGTCATGCAAGAAACCATTTTGAAAAAGCTTGGCACACCCTGAACGACCTCCCTTGTTACCTCAAGTGTTGGTAGATTTGTGTTACTG